ATGTTCTTGCAAAAGTATTTGTCAAAGTGTAAGGGTTTAATTTTCTTTGGCATAACTTTGTCATGTTGACACGAGAAAAATTTATAACCTCATCCCGTGACATAGAACCACGAGCTTTTTGGATATTCACTCTGGAAAGTCTCATCACACGACATAGAACCGCATGCTTTTTGACTCTAACACTCAAAAGGCCTCATCACGCAATATAGAACCACGTGCTTTTTGGCATACTCACCAAGCCTCATCAATTGACATAGAACCAATTGCTTTTTGGCTGAAACAAGAATCTCGGTCTCACCAAAGTATGCTTTTGAAACATCACCCCTTATACTTGAAAATATCTCTTTTTAAGAAACAACAAGTACTCATAAGAGCATCAGCAAAAAGATTTTCAATAAAGCACTTAAAAATTAATTGATCAAAAAAAACTCTTAATAAATTTTAAATTTATCCCAAATCATTTTAGAAAACACTCCCAAAAAGGTTAGAGTAGAAATAGAAGTTTGATAAAAATTTTAAAAATTTCCAATTTTTACGGGTGATAACTAAAGATTAATTAATCAAACAATTAAAATTGATGACTATTTTATAAAAATCTTTTCCTAAAAATATATAGACAAAACAATTCCTAAACAGATCATTTCAACAAAGAACTCTTGCCTCCTCACACTTAAACGGAACCACGGCCTCGTGGTTAATAGTATTTTGGAATTGGAGTTAATGGTTGAAATGGTCACATGCAATTACTAAGTTATCTCAATACTTACAAGATTCAACGATGAAGATTGAAATAATAGATAACCATAACATGAAAATATGAAATAATGCATAAAATTTTCTCAAAATGGTTTTAAGAGTCATGTTGTGAAATTCCAAAATAAAAATCATCAAGCATCCAAATGATGTTCAAAATAGTAGAGAAAAAGAGACTTTACTGATAAAGTCAATATTCTCTCAGTAGCCAACTTCAACCAGGACTGTTGGATCAAGAAGCCTCGAAGGTTGCAGAAACCTTGTGTTTTCCCCAGGTGAGACCTCTTCTTCGCTCCCACTGTAAGGTATGCCCTACAATTCTCTCATCTGCAAAAGCAAAGACAACAAACAAAATAGCTCTTGCCCCCAAAATTGGTGCGGCAAGTAGAAACTCAAAAGTAACAAATAAAATTATTGAATTTATTTAAATATTTTAGTTATTTGAATGACGGGTTGCCTCCCGTTAAGCGCTTCTTTAACGTCCATAGCTCGACGCTCACCCACTTTTTCTGAGACTTTTCGATATGTGAGTCATAAAGTTTGGCCCTTCTGACTCTCTTCTGATGCCACCTTGTTTGAATTTTTGCTCGGTCAAGGTCCAGGATCCTTGACTCTTCCCTGCGGCTTGGTGGCAACAGGATATATGGAGGAGACTTTGTATAGGTGGGTGGTGGCGGAAGTCTCCTTAGTCGATCCACATCTCTGGCCTTTATAGCAAGACTGACTTCTCCCTTGGTTTTAATAGGCTGACTATCCATTTGTGGTTGAATGATTATGATCGTACCCTCCCCCAAGGAAGAGTCCTCGTCGTCACTCACCAGAAGTTCATCCCAACTCTTTCGGCTCCAACTATCCTTCGGGCAGACAAAGTCACACCCGTCGAGTAGGGAGTCAAAGAAAGTTTGGTCTAAGTCTTCTGATGAAGCATGATTATCTATAGACATTATTGGTTCCTCTGTGCTAGGTATTTCTCCGTCTATAGATTCCTCCTTAGACTCTTGAATGTTGGAATCTTGGGGGTAGGTAGTGGGCTCTATCTCCTCCAGAACAGGTTCCTCTGGAGGCGTGTCTTCAACACAATTAAGGATATGGTCGTTTATTGCCATAGGCAAAACTTCCTCCTCATTCTGTTCTTGAATAAGCATAGGTGGTTCTGAGTCAGGTCCCTCAGTTGGCTCCACCTTCTGTACGACTGTGCCGGTTGAGACTTGGCTTGGAGGGTATTCGGGTAACATCACCACAGTAGCCTCAGCAAGAGTTGTTATGCTCTCGGGCTTCTGTGACGATGTAGAGCTGGGTGAATCTTCTAGAACTGGAACCTGTTGGTTGATGGGTTCAGGGTTGGTCTTGGGTTCTAGAGCCTCTTTTTGAACATTAATCTCCCTCATTTGATCTTGAGATTGGAGGGAGCGTTTAAGTTCAACAGCCTTACAGAGATCATTGACTAATTTATCAGCTTTAGCCTCAGCTTCTAGTCTCTCTCTTTGGAAGTCATTCAGCATTTTCTGCATCATTTCTGATCCTTCGCATAATCTCCTCTCGAACTCCTTTTCCTTCCGG